TTTGAATATCATTGTTCTCCTGCTGCTGCTTCAGCTCAATGTGAAGTCCATCTCCATATTGTTGGCTTGCTCTGATTATCCTTTCCACAGAAGCTTGTGACAACGGATCTTTCTCAAAGCAGGAGTACAGTTTCTCAAATAGACATCTGTTTCCCATACTGTGTGGTTTCAAATATCGGCTACTACCTAGAAATGGAAATATACTGGTGGGGTGATTTTCCACATTGTGATTCTGTTTCAATCTGACAAGAATTGCTCGAAATGAATGCCTTTTAGGCAGTATATAACTATATTATACTTTTATTTAGGGAATACAATGCTCGGCACTGACAATTATTGCGTGATAACATGCAAGAATGAGGGGATGTGGGTGAATAATTATTATTTGCGTTCGAACATCCCCTATAATAAAGGTCAGTGCCGAGCACTTAATTCCCATTATAATACCGCTATTCCACGAACAACTCACCGTTTCTTGTCTATACAAGGACGAGTTCTAACTAAATTCACCCGAATCAGCATGGAAAACTAGCACGCCTGGTCATAGACAATGTTTCAATGCAGAGAAGCGCGCGCAAATTCACAACCAAAAACATGTTGCGTTGAGAGAACGCACATAATCCATCATATCTTCGCGAGTGCTGTCTCGTACTGGTTGTCTGAAAGTGATCGAAAAATTGTTTTGTGAGCTCATATATGTGACTAGGTGATTGTGTGATTCAATGCTAGTTCTGGGGCTCGTCTGGTTACTAGTACCTTATCTCGTCTGATAATATGGAATCACGTGATGCCAAATAACTAATGAGAAAGTTGCATTAAGATTACGGAATGAGTATGTATTATAATAACAATTTTAAAACATGACAAGATAACAGAGATAGTTTCTGCATCTGTTTATTCTATGAGGTTTCATATATACAGAACCAACATGTTTTTGGACAGTGATTTCACGCTATTCAGGGCCGATTCTATCCACATATTGAAGGATATACCCAAATAGAACTCAAACACTGCTCTGAATTATACACGCTCTTCATATCGGATAAAATAAAGGTCATGAAAGGGTAACAGAAAAAATATAAAAGGACCTATTAGATAGTAAACCATTAATAACACAAATCGCCTGTACTAAAAATAATTGTATTCATATACACATACATATGCCCTTGTACTGCAAGTTGCCCAATGCAGACAGAAAGCCAGCAGGTGGTTTGGTGAAGCTAACAACATGGACAATAGTTTTGGACAATAAAAAAAACTATGGACCCTATTACAAAGTTTTGCCAAAAAAGCCCTTCCTTCTGCCGGACTACATGGGTAGACGCTTGTTTTTAAACAGCGACACGCTATGGTCGTCTGCCGCATGTGCAGATGACGACCCCCCCCCCCCGCTTTAAGTAATACTTGGATTGAAAGATTGCTGTCTTCAGTGGCACACTTACATGGTTTATCCAATCATCTCCCCTGTAACATAGGGTATGATGTATGAGAACCTAAATTCCGGTATTTTGTTAATAACCTTGTTGTTGTACATGTTCACATACAAAATGCGCGAAAGAAAAGGTCAGCTTTTGCTTTCATAGCTACTTTGCCAGCACAGGGGCGGACCTAGGATTCTGGAATAGGGGGGCGATAAGTTGGCCGAAGGCCAAGTTCTTGAGCGCCGATGGCACAAAGCACTGTTGGTTGTTAATAGGGGGCACGGCCCCCTCGGCCTTCTCTAAATCCGCTCATGGCACCATGCGCTGTTCAAAATTTACATAATCAAACGCACCACAGGCTCGCATTCTACTGACTTATGTATTCTTTGCTGGAGTTGTTTTCAGGCTAGTTTCTGTAAATTGTAGGTAGCCATCCATTGCTCATCGACCTTCAGTTTAGCCATCCATTGCTCATCTACATTCCAATTCTCATTCACCATTCGGTTTAGCCAACCATCAAACACTGACCATGCAGACAATCCAATTAACAAACATATAATATACATATATTCAACAACCACCACCAAACATTCAATAATCAAGAAAGCCTCACCACACAAATTTAGCCAGGCATTTAACTATCAACATTATGTTTTGCCAATCACATAGTCAATACACATAATAGCCAAATATATAATACATAACACTTCCATTAATCAATCACCAACAGCAATCAAACTGGCAACATTGTTAACAAACCACCATATTTGTTTTAATTACTTCTCACAGCTTGCTAATGTCTATCCAAAATGGAGACATACGATTATATCACTATTTATTAGCGGTTATATCATATCACCAATAGTATGTGTCATAATACAGGTATGTTAAGTATATTACATATAGTTGTCTCACAATAAAATTATATGACATATATATCGCATATACATGTTTCACAATACAAGTATGGCAGATATATACCATATATAGTATGCCTCACAATACAAGTATGGCAGATATATACCATATATAGTATGCCTCACAATACAAGTATGACATACATATACCACATATAGTATGCTTCATAATACAAGTATGACATATATATACCACATATAGTATGCATCATAATACAAGTATGACATATATATACCATATATAGTATGCCTCACAATACAAGTATGGCATATATATACCATATATAGTATGCCTCACAATACAAGTATGATATATATATACCATATATAGTATGCCTCATAATACAAGTATGACATATATATATATACCATATATAGTATGCCTCATAATAATACAAGTATGGCAGATATATACCATATATAGTATGCCTCACAATACAAGTATGACATATATATACCATATATAGTATGCTTCATAATACAAGTATGACATATATATATACCATATATAGTGTCCCACAATACACGTATGGCATATGTATATCATATATAGTATGCCTCACAATATAAGTATGGCAAATGTATATATATATTGCATGTTGTATATCTCTTAATATAGGTATGATATATATAGTATTCTTATTTACAAGTATGCATTTTGCACATTTTAATTTATTGATAGATTTTAGTGTTTCTTTATATATCAACATTTCTTTCAGCAACTCTATGGCCTAGGAGTTCCAGTGAAAATGATTTTTGTTGGCTACCTAGGGTGTACAGCAATTATGCTTTTCAACACAGCGTTTGTTATGCCAAAACATAAATGCAATAAAATGACAACTACAAGTGTTTCCATATATCCTGATATCACAGATGCGTCAGTTCTAAAACTAGTATCATTTACAACTTTAACAGAATTTGAAGGTAAGCATTCAGACAATTATATGTTATATGAATATTAAATATACAAATTATTGTGTTTACATCCACGCCATGTCGCCTCCAGCTTCATGTATCAAACACACTCAATGTCACGTGCTTAAAAATGTACAAAGCGTGTTTAGACAGAAAAAAAATTTGGACATGATTTCCATTAAATATAACAGCAGTGCTGAACACATCTTCACCACAGGAACGCGACTTACTGCCAACTACCAGTCAACTGTACTACAATACACTCCAAGCCAAATTATTCAAACAATAGAATTCAGCTGAGACACCCAGGGCAACAACTAGATCCACCAGTACCTGATAGAAATGCAACTTGCCCATACAAATTCAATAAGCTACACAATATTACTTCATTCTACCCTATATACCCTATATAGGCACAATATACTTTAGTCCGACAAACTAGTCACAATAACTCTACAGTATACTTAGCAAGACACACAATTCAACACAACTATAGACACAATATTCATTCAGTTCACCCACATCGTCACATATATTATCATACCCACCCAACTAGACATAATAACTCGTCAACTAGATCTTATTTTATGTCTCTATTTATTTGTGCTGGTTTGTCTGCGAGTAAAATAATATAAAAGTCGATCACATAACATTACAAAATCACCTTGAAACCCTGTAAGCAGACTGGTAACACCATTTGTACTTAAAGGGGTACCAACCCTCCTGCCACATTCAAATGAAAATTAAAACATTCAAAGCAAAGAAAAAGTAACATGAGACAAATACGTGCGGTGAGTGTGTGCAAGGACAACGTGCTGAGTTCATGCGCATGTGCACTTAGTTGTGCACTTTTGTACGTGATTGTCATAAAAAACATCTTTTTAAAGAACCAACTGTTTCTACAAATCCCTCAAGCTTCGTGCACGAGACCAGAACATTTCAGAATTCAGTATTCATGGCCGAATGCAAAAACATTATCCCGGATTAGACACATCACATTATCCACCGTCCACATATTCTTAAACACAAGCAATGTGTTCATAATCCTTAAATTTTCATAATCAGATTGAAGCCTTGACTTCTATTGCAAATTTCCAGTAGGTCACTAGAACCTTTTCATGCATGTTTATGCTGAAGTGAATCGCAAATTCAGCAATGAATGCTAAATAGTCTTTGTGCCTAGGTAAACTCTCTGTAGAAGATGGGGATGATAAAATCATTAACCACAGGATAAAAATCCAGACGAGACGTGATATTCGTAAAATGTAAAGTAAGTTGCTATTTGATGAGCATTCAAATAATGTGGACAGAAAAAGGACAGAAATGCAGTTGCAAAAGCACCATGGGAAAATTCGCCACAGTGACTGCAAGTCCTCACCTTTTTCATTTTCTTGCAAACAAAGTATGCCAGTGTCAGTGTTCATTTTTGTGGATAGCCCATGAAGAGAACACAAATTGTGACATTGTATTAAAACATTTCATTTCATTGCAGAAAAACCCTCGGTACCACAGAGGTATGAATGGTTTCAGAGTACTGAATTGTACCCTGTAAAAAGTGATATATACTCCTCAACATCAACAACTCAATCATTTCGCAAGACCATCGCATCCTGTGAATGGGCGTGGCATACAATATGGTTTACAATACTGTATGTTCGATACTCCTATTTCATAGGAACACTTAATCCATTCTTATTTTATATTGTTGCCGATGGACAAAAACAAGGTAGGCAACAACCAGTTATAGAACTGACAACAGCTCTATAATTGTTATTATTATTGAGGATCATCTCATCTGTTTGTTAGGAACACGTATGTCACAGATAAGCTTTAATTTTGAAAATGACAGTGAAACATCAGCAGCCAACATATGATTCAGAGAATGAAAAGGACATTCATTTCAATCAGCACTAGCAAAGTATACACACGTGGGAACGTGTATTGAACATCGGAAACAAACTCGCACCGAGTTATGAATACTTTTGCGATGGATTCGCATTGTTGTATTCCTCCTGTTGTCCACCTGCACTTGGAGATATTTGCATAGTTGTCAACTTGCAGAATGGAATAGTTCCATTACTGTCCACTTGGCCTATAGAATATTTCCGTTACTGTCTTCCTGCGTCATGGAAGATTTCCATTACTGTCCACCTGTACTATGGAAGGTTTTGAGTATTGTCCACCTGCACTATCGAATAATTTGATTACTGTCCACCTGCTGTGCGGAAGATTTTTATTATTGTCCATGTGTACTATGGAAGGTTTTTATTACTGTTACCCGCTCTATAATGTTTGCACCATCACAGTTCACTTTTTCCATGGAAGGTTTTGATAATTGTTCACCTGCACTATTGAATAATTTGAGTACTGTCCACCTACTCCATGGAAGATTTCCATTACTGTTCAACTGCTCTGTGGAAGAATTCCATTATACTGTCCACCTGCTCTATGGGAGATTTCCATTACTGTACAATAGCTCTGTGGAGGAATTCCATTACTGTCCACTGCTCTATGGGAGATTTTCATTGTTTTCCACCTGCTCTGTGGAAGATTTCCATTATTGACCACCTGTTCTATTGGAGATTTCCATTAATGTCCACCTGCTCTACAGGAAATTTCCATTACTGTCCAACTGCTTTGTGGAGAATTTCGTTACTGTCCACCTGCTCTGTGAAGGATTTCATTACTGTCCATCGCTCTATGGGAGAATTTCGTCACTGTCCACCTGTCTGTGGAAGATTTCCATTGATGTACAACTGTCCTATGGAAGGTTTTGATTATACTCCACCTGCACTATCAAATAATTTGATTACTGTACAGCCGCTATGCATAAGATTTTCATTATTGTCAACCAAATCTATGGGAGTTTGTCAATACTGTCCACCTGCTCTGTGTGGGATTCCATTACTGCCCACCTGCTCCATGGAGAATCTCGTTACTGTCCACCTGCCCTGTTGAATATTTCTATTATTGTAAGCCTAATCTATGGGAGATTTTCATTACTTCTACCTAATCTATGGGAGATTTTCATTACTTCTACCTAATCTATGTCCACCTGTTCTGTGAAGGATTTCATTACTGTCCATCGCTCTATGGGAGAATTTCGTTACTGTCCACCTGTCTGTGGAAGATTTCCATTGATGTACAACTGTACTGTACTGTACTGTGCTCTTAGAAAAACAAACATTATTGCCCGCCTGCATTATCGAATAATTTGTGTACTATCTATAGGAGATTTCCATTACTATCCACCTGCTCTATGGAAGATTTTCATTACTGTCCACCTGCTCTATGGAAGATTTTCATTACTGTCCACCTGCTCTATGGAAGATTTTCATTACTGTCCACCTGCTCTATGGGAAATGTTCACTACTGTCCACGTGGTCTGTTGAAGATATCCATTACTGTTCACCTGCTCTATGGAA